TAACAGAAGTGGAACCCTTTTTGGTGCTATAAAACCATCTACAGCACATTCTCCATCAAGTGGAAGAAAACTTTCATGATGAAAAAAACCTTTAATCATGCAAAGGATTCTTTGAATGTACATGGTCCTATATAGAATTTTTGTAACTGAAGAACCCTTAAAAAAACATAATTTTTAAGAGCGTACAAGTTACTTATTTCACAGGAGATAGTTCAAAGTTAAAGTAATTCACTTTTGAACAAGGAAAGTCAACAGAAAATAAGTAAAACAACAATTTAGTTTAAAAAGATTAAAAGCTACAGAGAAAATGGGGCTCCTAACAATCACCTGGAAGACCTGGCAGACACCAAAACTGTCCCCATTAGATAAACAGCACTTAAAGCTTTCATCTTTGAGAGAGAGGAGAAAATCAAGCTGCTTCAGATCTGAAAACATCCACAGGTGTTTCTGTCCATCCTTCCACTGTGAGAAGACAACTCAGCGCTGTGGGTCTGAAAGGATGTGTAGCTGTCAAGAAGCCTCACTGAGAAAAGGAGACAAACACATCAAACAAAGAAGCTGAACAATGGACTGACCACCCTAGAGTCCAGACCTCAACATCACAGAATGTGTTTGGATTACTAAATAAGCAACCAACTTCTAAGACTGAACTTTGTAGGTGTGTCTGTAGATTTCTTTGAGAAACTGAAAGTGAGTCTCCTGATCAGAATGGAAGCCGGAATAAAGGCTGACACACAAAGGATTGAAAGAAATTATATCATATTCAGTTGTTGAGTGTGTCATTTTCTGTTTTTTGCTTTTTTCCTGGAGCTGTGAAATGGCCTTAACAATCTCTGGACTTCAAATTAAACAAATGAAGAGTGGTCTCTGACTTTTGCACAATAATGTAATTGCAGTTTTGATGAATGCTCACATTTATCAAGAGCTCTTTCCAATTTTAGGCCACATTTCATCATGATTCCAGTATGTACAAACCACAAAATGATGAAATAAAGCTTAGCAGACCTGTAATCAATTTTCTCTACAAACACAATGTCAAGCTTTCGATGCTCTTTCTATACCCTGCTCTTGTGCAGCTCTGTGATGTTCCACTTCACATTATCTGAATATTTTACCTTGTGGCAGATGAGTCTGAACTGCTAGCACACATTATCTTTCACCATCTTTACAATGGCACCTATACTACCTCAACAAAATGAGAATTATTAATACACATCTGTTTCACTTTAGCTTCCACTGTCTGATTCTTCTGGCAGCATAGCAGGAAACACAACCTCTGCAACTGTTGCTACCTTATATAATAAGTCCTGGGGGCAGATTCATGCAAAGCGCTATTAAGGTAAACAAGTGTGACCATCTGGACAGACAGATATTCACCAACCCTCATGCATGAATACAAAAGAATGGAGCACCTACTCTGTGTTTATCAAAGATTCGAACATGGAAAGTGTATTTTTAACGCTTGCAGTCTGAGGTCATTTTCTCGATTTGTGCCGATCTTCTCTGTTATCTTCATCACTGCTTTCCAAAAGCAACTTCAGCAGCTGTAAACTCTCTGCACGCCATTTCTCATGTGTCTCCAATGCGGACTGAATGAAGAATGAAGGGTTTCCGGTGTGATTTGTCAGTCCTTAGTGATTTCCTGAGTGTCCATTGGTCAGTTTCACACAAAATGTAGACAAACATACAAATTCACCAGTTCCACACAATGAGAGGCAGATGACATGTATCTCAGCCCCTCTTCATAGCCTCATAACTCAGAGTGTGAGTCATGTATGATCTCGTGATAAGATGGAATGGAAAGGGCGACTCTACAGATTCAAGAAATGTTTGAACTGTATTTCTGTGCTAGATTATCACAAAGATACAGAGAGAGATATAGAAACATTGAATTTGATGGGCAGGCAAATTTGTCAACCGCAGAGGGTTAAAATCTCAGGCTTATTACATACTAAGTCTTATTATTCAGTAATTACAGGGACTTCGATGCAAACTGGCTGAGCTATTCTTATGCTATGGAAGTGTATAATAAAACTTTGGGCCCGTGGGTGGTCCCTGGCCATTTAAGGGTGTATAAGGGTGTCCTCTTTTGGTAGCACTTATTAACACCTAATTGACATAAGTTAGAAAGAACACTAACACTATTAGCATTAATGCTAGCCTCAACTGAGTGCTTTTCTCATATTTTCGCACTAAATTCTAACCTTTGATTCTACACATGATTTGATGTAACTGTAGACACTTTTCTGCATGAACACAGAATAATGCAGTATTTAATTTAATGTAAGCCATTAAGTTAAGCTAACTACCTAGCAATGTAGCTAATTACCAAAATTAGCATTAGCCAAATTAGATGCTTCACGTAGCATAAAATGACCTAAATGGCAATTGCGGTTATTATGACGGTTCCAGCAGTCTCAAGCAGGTGCAAAAATGAACAAGAACTAGAACTTAGGTCCTGTCGCTCCCTGTTTGGGTCAGTTCTTGTTTTTCAGTGTGC